TATTGCAAGTTGGAACCGAATCTCTGAATCAATTAATAAAACTTGGGGAAAAATATATATTGACAAAATGAGATTTTTGTTTAATTGATTGAAAATGTTACATAAGTTATATATATATATATATATATATATATATATTCATAATCCACTGATATAGAATAATGTACAGAAGAGTTTGAAAAAAAGAATAAGAGCAGAAGTTTCAAACTGAAAAGCAAAACAGAAGATAAAAGGAGAAAGAAAGGAAACTTACATAACCACATCGTTTTTGCCTTATTATAAAATGTAAAGTTAAAATTATTATTTAGGCATTAGTTTCAAACAACTAATAAACAACTAACTTATTAGACTCCTTAGCATATACAATAATTATGCAAAGCTGAGTATATTTTATACACAATCATCCTCATGGGCATATTGGCGTTGGCAGGTGTTACGACCTTATACCGTAATCCAAGTTGTGAACATAAAATATAACAAATAAATACTCATATTCAGAAACATCTGACCGAGCCCTGGAACACTGTCCAAAAAATTTAGATAAAACTTTAATACTCAAGGCTGATAATAAAAAAAATTCCCTGGTTTCAAAAGTCATGCTAAATAAAGTACCCTGTCCCAACACACACACACAAAGTCCATTTCCCTGTCCACACATTATCTGAAAATATAAAAGTAGATTTGATACGTAAAACCCCATAATCCTTTAATTACAATAATTAAACAAAATTTGTTCGGAAGAATATTTATTAATATACATGTTGGTTTCAAAATATACATTCTCTATTTACACAAAGATATACAACAAAATAAAACCCAACATCCGTCCATGGCTGTGGAGGAATGCCCTCTACGACCTCTTGTCCATAATCTGAAAAAATATATGTATAATAGGAATGAGCAACCACAACTCAGCAGGAAATGCCTAACTACCACTCCTTAATATCCTCATGAATCCAAACAAAGAATGGGAATAAAAAAATGAGTCATGCAAATCCGGGGAAAAAAAAAAAATTATTATCACATCATCATGCTGTATTACAAAATAGTCAACACAGAAGAATATGAAGTACTATATACACAGAGTCTAAACCATTTCCCTTATTACAACTTTCTATACAATGAATCACATTTCTCATTATCACAACCATCAGTCTAAATGTATGTCCCTGTACCGTGAAAAAACTATCCCTTTATTAATACCTAAGGTACCTTTTAGTATTAATGATTTACTGCATCTAGACAAAAGGATAACCACTCATGTCTAATTATAAATATAAACTCAGAATACCCATCTCTATTACTCTATAATTACCACATTTTTTCCAATCAATATCTTAGCTGGTACTATGCTATGCCGGGAGAAAAATAACCACAATATCACATTTATAAATTAAGTCATGAATGGATATGCCATGCAATGGTTGTAATGTAATGCGATGTCACTCCCTATTTTTCCAAAACCATTACCATCATCATTTCCAAACCGTTAGTGAACCTGTCCCATGGCAACTCCATAGCGGCACGAGAGGAGGATTGGCCACTGTCCCTGACCCATGGCAACTCCATGGTGTCATTTGGGGCCCAGGTAACACAACCACACTAGGGCGATTTCCCTGATCCCCTCTAGGCCTCATTAACGCCTCGGTCCGTAGGCAACTCCTAGGCGGCCGGGTTTTTCACAAAATTCTTTCCAAAAAATCCATTTCATTTCTTTCAAATCAATTTTTCTCATTTCTTTCCCAATGAGTGCATGAATGTCACATGCTTCACAATATTATAATACCACATCATTACTCACATCAAAATCATATTCTATGGACACACTTTGGCAGCAAATTTATCATGGCAGCATGTTTCAAGGACAATATATCATTCAGTTTTTGAACACTAATACAATACTAAACTTATAACAAAACAGTTCATAATTGAAGTGAACTAAATATATAATTTCCAACTTGTCAAATAATAACAATACAACCATTGTGATTACTAAAATTTCAGTTTTAGGCACATAAACATCAACAACATTTTAAGAGCTTAAATTCCATATTTAAAACACATAACACATCATTTCTGTCTAAGTTACAAAATTTCAGATTTTTATTACACAACATGCTTGTAAAGAAAGCCTAATTCAAGTCATATAGTGGTTCAATTTAAAAGATTTAGTTCACAAGGAAACAAAGGGTGTGAGGGTTAAAACAACTCCTACTAGTTGTTAACAATTCATACGCAGCTTGTTACATCCATCTTTGAAAATTCATAACAATTTCAATCCTAAATCAAATTGAGTGATTACAAAGCCTAATGAAAGCTTAAACAATGTACTTTGAATGTATCAATTTAGTTTAACAAAATCCCTTCCCAACAGTTTTGACCCATATATTCGAAATAAATGCTGCCCAGAAAACTGATTTTCAGCCTATTGCTTCCAACTTTGAAAAATCATAAAAAATTCAATTCTCATCCAAATTGAGTGAATCCAAAGCCTAATGAAAGCTTAAACAATGTACTTTGAATGTGTCAATTTATTTTAACAAAATCTCTTCCAAATTAGAACAGTTTTGACCCATAAATTCGAAATAAATGCTGCCCAGAAAACTGATTTTCAGCCTGTTGCTTCCAACTTTGAAAAATCATAAAAAATTCAATTCTCATTCAAATTGAGTGAATCCAAAGCCTAATGAAAGTTTAAAGACTATATTTTCAAGATAAAAACTTCACCAAAATCCATTGCCATTAAAATCAGGTTTGATGAGAAAATTCGAAAAAAAATCTGTCCCAACACAGAATTTCCAACAAGAACACTATAACTTCAAAAATTCGTAATACATTCATTTCTCAATCAATTTAAATGAAACCAATTTTCAATGAAAACTAATTAACTATATTATCATAATATCAAATCATCTCTAAAATATAAATTACGAATTTACATGAATTTGAGCAAAACAGTAGCATGTAATTTCAGCCAAACAGTTTCAACATGCTTCAGTTCCACTTTTATACACTTTACAACTTAAATTGAAATAGATTAACTCACTAAAGGCAAAGTAATTGAGGGTTAGACAATCCTACCTCAAGAGAATTCAAACCCTAGGAACAAACACCTCCAAGCTATTCCAAGGATAGATCGAACCCACCAACAAGATGGTGAAGATGAAGAACTCTCAATTGAAGTACAACTAAGATCCTCCTCTTTTTAAGACACTTTCTGAAACCCATGGATTAAGGAATGACCACATATACTATATCAATGGAAACCTCATTCCCTCTAGGTCATTTTTCATTCACACCTCAACATCAAACTCTTATTATAAGTCTCTCTAAATGGTGCTTCAAAAACCCCTCTAATGGAGGACGAAATTGGTTAAAGGAAGAAGAAAATGGAATTAACATGAGGCCATCAGCTGAAGCTCTCTTCTACATGAGGAGTCATACAGATTGTGGCTAGAAACTTGCTAAGTGCATGCTTAAGTGTCAAACTCACAAAGGGTCAAAAGGTGGACCAAGGAAATAGCCAAAATGCCCCCACCTCTTCATTAAACTACAACCATGCCATCACATCATCAAATGACCATTCCACCCTCATTAATTATGTAAATGACATCTAAGATAATTATTTTTTAATTAAGAAAATAATTTAAAATCCAAAAAATTCAGGCGTAGGACCCACACGAGTCGTTCGGCCCGAAAATTCATAAAATGTCCAAACGGTTCAACTAGCATATCCATGCTTCCCAAACTCCATGAAACACTCTAAATCACTATAAAACCTTCGTGACGTGCAATCCTAAACATGGCATACAACCCGAGATAATGAAATAATCACTTATGCCAAAACGAGAAATGCCCAGGAAAAATTAAAAAAGTGATGGACATCACAGCAGGGATCCGGGAAGTAAGTCATTGAGTTCTCGCTTTCGAACCGCACTCTTGACTTGAATGGTACATTTGTTGTGGGATCGATACATGAATTTTTTTTTTTTTGGGAGGGGGGGAGGGGATTTTTTACCTGTACTAATATATATATATATATATATATATATATATATATATATATATATATATATATTTTCCTATACTAATTTTTTTTTTTCAAAATTTTAATTTGTCAGGTTTAAAGTGATAAAGTCCAAGTTTCTTTTATTTTTTATTTTTTTTATAAAAGAGTGGTCTCACCTGAACATTTTGTTCTTTAAATTGCAGCACCAACGTGTTTTGGTTTTTAAGTGCCATTGGTTCGCAAAAGGGCTTTTAAGGGTGGTCCCACCAATATGATTTTTAAGGCTTAAAAAAAAGGCCTCATTCAGGACCGTTCAAACGTCCCTTTTTTTTGATTGCCTAAGAGCCTCATTGTATATGTGTGTGTATACATATAGATAGTTTATGCACGGTTCAATTCGATTTTCTGGAATCGAAACCTTAAACGAGCTACTCCTCGTTTAGGAATCGAAACTTGAACTGAACCATAAAATAATCTAACCAAAGCAAATGTTTGGTATGGTTTACTTTTTGAGCAAATAACACTCCATTATTTTACTTTGGATATATAACTTCCTTAAAATTTTTAAAAATGTTGTAAAGAAGAATTTTTCGGTTGTTAGCGTTAAAAATGCACCGTTAAAAAAAATGTGTTTGGCACATGACCGACTAAATTTAATAAAAATCAAAATTATCCTTTATTGATTCTCAAAACATCATTTTCTTTTTGTATAAATCTAAAAAATAAATGATATAATGGTGATTTTACATTTACTGAATTTTTTTTACTTATTTTTAATTGTAAGACAAAATTTTAATATTTTTACCACCCATTAATAATTAATTGATGGGAAGTCCTTATTTGTTTAGCCATCTACATGGTACCATCCGAGCTTATGCCGTCCCTTAATTTGTGATCAAGTATATATGATCTTAATCGAATGGTGCAGATTACAGCAATCCGAATAACAATAATAACAAATGCACGTGCCCACGAACCAAGGTGATGGACGGTCATAACGTAGCTGATTCAAGAAGAGAAATTGTTACTCTCTCTCTCCAAGAAAAAGAAAAGAGGAGTGCTCGTCTCCTTTCTATACACACATACATGCGAGGGCCCGACGGCGGCTTTCAATCTTAGAAACCAATGGTGTTCGCCGCCGATTTTGGTTTGTGATTTCAACTGACAAGTCGGAGTTCACTCACTAAAGGTATTGGTCGAAACTCATCGTTCCTCAAATTTATATGGTCTCTCTTCAATCTTTTTGGACATGGTCTTCTGGGTTTCTGATAATTATTAATGTTTCTTGAAATCTATCATTTTCTGGTCGAAATTGTGTAAAATATGTGATTTTAAGTAGTCAAATATTAGTGCGTTAAAATAAAGCTTGAACCAAAAATTAGGGTTTTAGGGTTTTGTGAAATCATGGCATAAATGTCTAGCCCAAGATGGTATAGTTGTTGTCACTTTTGGAGTTCATATCATATTTCACAAGAGAATTTCTGTCTTCTCAGATCAATGTCTGAATAAATTTCAAATCCCTGATCTTTTGTTTTACTACGTCATTGACATGCGTTCACACATGGGTTGGTTCCAATAGTTGCGCTGGTATTGAAGTCGAAGATAATTAAATGTATTCTCGGTGCTGATTCACACCTGGAGCAGCATGTAAAAGGAAAATACTAACTCATCTTACCACATGAAGTATGTACAATATCCATATTATATAATCTATAATCCATCACGTTGAACTATCATTTCTCAAATATGGTGTTTATACTTGAGACAATGTTCAGTCCGAAGATGAATAGGTCTTCTGATTGCATTAAAGCTAGAGTCAAGACAAGCGAATGGAGTTGAAATCACAATTTCAGAAAATCACAGTGGTATGGTCAGAACCATATGGGAAGTTTATCAGGTTTTGGAGAATCAATCTGTATGATTGTTTAGAGGTCTTTGTGTCACTGATTAGGCTCAAAGCACCTTTACTTTTTTTTTTTGGCTTGCACAGATTGTAATAATAGATTGTTGCAATTTAAGACGATCTTAAAGTGGAGAAGAATAATATGATTTGATTATGGTCACTGAATAACTTAACATCTTTGTAAGGAATAGCTGAACAATTTGAAGTTTATGAATATTTGATCTGATTTATAGAGGGAAGAAATTATTTCTTTATATCAAAATCCCTTATGATGTGTTCAATTTAATAAATATGTGGAAGTGCTCCTTCGTGGTGTAAACACTCTGTTGGGGCATTTTGAGTCTGTTGCTTTCTTATAAAGAGTGCTTCTGTAATTAATCCTATGATCGGACAAAGAATGTTCCGATACTAAATTGATATAGAACTAGAAAGAAATAAGGGGATGAGAATGAGAAGATGAGGCGAGGCTGGACAAAGGGGTTGAGAAAACAGTGAATAGATAGGTTATAGATAGACGGAGGGGTTGAGAAAAGCAAGAACAAAAATGGGGAAGAATTCCCGAGAAAGAGTTATGAGACTCACAATAATATTCAATAATCATAAGCTAAATTGTCTGTTTAGTGTTTACATAGGAGGCTTTATGTAGGCAAATTATTAAGTAGACTCTAAAAACCCTGACACATAAAAATACCAAAATAACCTTAAATTTCAAAGATCACCAAAAACAGCAGTAAGCATACATAAAAAACCGTAATTTACTACTAAAATCCCTAATTTTATATCCCCTTTCCTCTTCTCCAAAAGTAATGCTGAAGCATGTGCAACCCATGTCCGCTAATCATATCTTGCTCCCCATAACAAACATTTTCCTTCCACATTCAGTATGTTGCTTCGTCAAGGTAGAGTTCATTAACTACGCGCTGAGCTGATGTCCCCTTTCAGTAATTAGTTGCCAAATCAACCAAATCTGATCATTGAAGGTTTTCCCAAGGAATCCACAAATAAACTGCAGAAGATGCATGTAGGGAAGGATTTAAAGAAAACTCTGAATTTCATCTCGGATACTTAAACCTTCCTAGAATTGCGAGTTACAATATAAAACTTCACTTAGGCACAACACCAGCTGGTATCATTGCACCACAGGGCATTTCTTTTCCTAATATTTTCCCAGGTTTTGACAATTTTAAATTTACCAAATGCAGTTGGGAGCCACGCCCCCACATATTTTATGTGGAACATGGGAAAACACTAGCAGGCATATCGATTTTTCATGCCTATTGATCTCCAGATATATAGCTGCAACTTTAGCATTCTTAGCGTGATTATCATCCTCTATTATCTTCTTACCTTTTTATGTGCAATTGGACTACAGGGATGCCGCTTATGAATCCAAATGAATGCCATCTACCTATTACCAATGCAAATCTTGAACATGTATCTCACTGTCTTTCATACCCTAAGAAGTTTCCACAAAATTATGGACATTCTTGAGATAATTTGCATATCCTTGAAACTTCTAGTTTAAAACATATAAGTTTGCACCAGGAGCCTCATGAAAAAAAAATCATCTTTATCAGTCAGAATTCAGAAGGTGCCACATGTGCCTTTACACCCATAGCCTTATTTCATTCTATCAGATGCTTCATCCTTACCTCCCTTCCTTTTTGAGCCTTTTATATGATATTCCACACGTCCCTTACTCCCGTGTTCTTTAGATCTGCCCCACTCCATGAAAGGTCTTAGGGTCTGTTAATTTTATTGTGTTAGATTTCATTTTTATATATTTCATAAACCAAACAATGAAAAAAAGAAGAAAAACTTCAGGGGCAAAAAGGGTTATTGATGGAAGCTATAATTTTCTTGTATGAGCCGACATTTGTATACTAGTGTGGTTATTTTACCAAAAAAGATCTGTATGTTGGAGAGTATTATGGACATTTTATTTTGAACAATTTTTACACCTACCATTAGTATGTAAAAAGTGATTTTGTTCCAAGTTTAATCCGAGAGTAAAAAGGAAAACTTCTTGGTAATTTATTTTAAATCTTAATAATTATCAAAGCTTATACCATTGCCGAACTACGCGGACTGCCTTCAATTAAGAAGGAAAACTAGATTGTGGAACTCGAAATAGCAATACATTCCGACATACACAAGACATGCATATATTATAGATAGAGACAAATGATCCCGACGAGCCATGGTCACCAAACAGGAACTGCTCTGGATAGTAAATGAACAAACTGGAATTTGGGTGTTGAAATTCCGAATTGAAACTGAGCCTACTTACAAATATGCAAATTTGTCATGTGTCTGCTTATGGTATATCAAAGTGGAATTAACCTGCATGGATCATATACTTTTCTGTTAGAGTAGAATAAAAAATGAATTTTGGCATTAGTTGAAGACCAACTAGAGAATATATAATGAGAGAATTTTGACAAGAATAAGAGATTTTTTTATATATTTTTTAAAACTCCACAGTGAGATAAATGGGTTGGTGTGATTTACCTACCTAGAAAAGAAAAAGAAAAAGAAATAAGAAAAATACATAGTTAGGCCATTACACTTGAAAATTTAATTAAACACCAAACAAAAATGATTTGATTAAACTCACTATCAAGTTTATTTAAAATTTGTCCATGCGTGAATCTAGATTTTCGTGCATATATATATATATTTCATTTAAAGTTATATCTATATACCCTACCTACCCTCCTCGGTCTTTTATTTCTTTATCTTACTTTGGACCTTTTTTGGCTTCTTTTCAAACTAGATGAACTCTCAGGCTTGGTGTCTTGAGAGAAACTGTCCATGTAAGGTGGCAAATCGATCAGTCCTGCTTCAATGGCTGCTACATCGACCAATAAATCATTGTAATGCTGCTGTACTTCTTTGACTAATGTTTAGGGAAGACACAAAATGTCAGATAAACATTATTTGGTTCTTAAGTCTCATCCCGTAAGAGATGGATAATATAGTAATTTTCAATCATTATTTGAGGGCATTTAAGTAAAACACATAAATCCGTTGGTCAATTTGATGTAAGGGAGGTGTCTGTAACAATATTTCGTTTTTTGGGGAGGTCAGAGTAATTTTTAAAACGACAGAGGAGGTCTGTGTAATTATGACAAACCTCATGGGAGGCCAGTGTACTTACCCTTTGATTAATGTGTTTCTTTGCCTAATATCCATAATAACCCTATTTGCTCCAAGAGTTATTTTTATTTTTTAATTTTTTTTCATTGCTTGGTTTTTGAACATATATAATAATGAAAGCTAACCCCTTGTAAATTTAACAGACCCTAAGACCTTTTGTGTAGTGTTCAACTTTTGTGGATTGGGACATGTTATTTGGACTTGGGTTTGGGATATGTGTCTGACAGTTTTGGTTGGACATGCCTTAAAAAAAAATCCACTAATTCCATTTTATTGTATTATTCTGACCTCCCCATTTTAAATGTCTATTATAGTCACTGTATTACATAAAAACTTTACTTTACTCTACTCTAAAGAATAAAATGAATATTTGGAGGTTTGACCTACGCCTGGAGGCCTTGGATACATACCTGTACCTGACACAAGGACCTGAGTCCATGTATGATGTAGCATAGATTATAATACAACCTTTTGAATGCCTGTAATTTGGTAATTATTTTAGTGGGATGAAGTACTTTTGTTTAATTTTTCATAAAAGTGTTGCTCTGCCCTGTGGATGTTCTTCTTTCAAAAGGTTCAAAATTATGTTATCTCAAGACCTAACTCGTATTATTCTAAGATGTTTTCTTATACCATTTTCTTTGTGTGCAGGTGTCTCACTCGCCATCTAGATTTTAACACGGAGTTTCACAATTTTGACTATATCTCTTCTTGTTTGAACATTTGAGGTAGTGAGTGAATACATGGAATAATATATTTAACATTAAGTGGATGCTGGATACTTATCTCATGGAATATCCAATTTGTTTTTTGGTCTAGAGGCCTTAGAAATTTGAAACAATGCAAGATTAGGGAGACTAAATATATTGGAAGCTATTTGAAATAAGCTATTCATGAGTGCCAATAATTGTTGCAATTAAAATAGACAGTTATATGCCCTTGTATATTGAAAAATATGTTGTGTTTGGAAGTGCACTTGTTTATGTTATTGCAAATAACTGTGGAGAGGAATTTTGTAGGCCAATGGATTGAAATGGCATTTTATCACAAGGGCAAAGTTTGGTGTATGAACTTAACTTCTAGGATGTTGTACGAACTTTACAAACGTAACTAAAAACTGAGCAATTCTTATTTCCTTTGGGCATACATGGACCTGTCTATGGCCAAGAATGATTAAGTGCTTGTTTGGTGTTGCTGTTAGAATGAAGAAAGCGCCTTTGTCAGTAGAGCTGTCACAAAAATAGTTGTTATAAAAAAGCGTGTTAGATGTTTTGTGATTCACTATCTAAATTACTTTTTATAATTAAAGTACTTTTTAATCTATTTGGTAACAACATTTTTCAAATCACTTCTATTGCTAATTTTTCAAAAATGTTCTTTAATGGAATGTTACTATATTTTTTAATAATGGGTTTATAAAAGAAGGGGGTGAAATTCTCTTTATAAAAAAGAAAAAAAGGGATAAAATTGTCTAAGTAAAGACAGTTACTGAAAATATAGATTCTCTACCCAGAACACAATTTTAGAAACTAGAACTTTTAGTTTCATTCAAAAGCTCTACCAACCTAAAGTTGATAACTATTAAAAGTGTTTTTAAGGGTTACCAAACACATCTAAGCGTAATTTTTAAGATAAAAGCACTTTTAAGCAGTTGAAAAGCAATTGTAAACAGGTTCTAAATGCATCATACATAGGCATGGTAGGTAGAGATTTTTCGCACAGCAAAGTCGGTGTTTGACAAATGGGTATAGATTAGTGAAAATAATACTTTGTTTATCGTGTTGTATATCTTTGTGTACTATGTGCTAACATTGAAGTAGAATTTCAGCATCTAGGAGTAAAGACAAATGAATAAGAAAAAGAATCCACTAGTATTCTTAGACGTATCAATTGATGGGGATCCTGCACAAAAAATTGTCATGGAGGTAATGTTCTAATTATAAACACTCTCTATGTATATGTCCTTTATTAGGTCTTTAGTCCACTTTTTATTTTTAACAGGAAGTTTATGAATTGAGATATTGATGAATATGCTTTTCTGAATGGTTGCAGCTTTTTGCTGATGTTGTACCTAGGACGGCAGAAAATTTTCGGGCACTCTGCACGGGTATCTTACTATGAATCTTATCCAAGTTATGTGAAAAAAATAATTATTTTTAGAACACGGTTTTCCTTTGAAAGATCCATCATCTATTGAGATTGCATTGATGATATGGTTAATCATAAGGCTTTTATCTACTATCTGACTGAAGCTAAGAAATAATGAAAATCAAGGTCACAATTGGCCGAGGGTCATTCTTTAGTTGATCTAACAAATGTCCATTAGTGAGTGCTACTATGGGGGTGCCTTTTTTTCAATTTTTTTTTCAAGGGCTGGGAACGGTAGCATTGGAAACAGACCTAAATAACCTAACTTTTGGTGATATTTTCTACCATTTGAGTTTATACCGGCACCAATCAATGACTCCTCCTTGGCTGATCTAACAAAAAATAAAGGAAACAAAACACCAATTTTTACCAGTGACTGATCTGCTTCATATGCTTGACAGCATATAGCCTAGAAAAGGAATTGAATCCTACAATGTTGTCTTGCACCAAGTACTGATGAACACCCATAAATGTATGACATTTACAGCTATCTCCACTTCGATACTAATGGTTTTTTATTTCGTTTTTCACTATGGAAGGAAACATGTCTCTAACTCCAATTTGCTTCAAAATTGTACTCAAGCAACATCGCTTCCTGTATTATCTTCTAATAATTGTTATTTTTATTTCTATTAGATAAAGAAGTAATGATCCGTTTAATTTTAGAAAACTGGCCTAAAAATTAAAGGACCTCAGTTGCATGTTAGTTTCGACACGTCTCATACTACTAATATTGTTAGTATGGTTATTATTATTATCCCAGGGAAATGATGGGCTATGCAATTGGGGCAGCCCTCCCTATTCCTATGGATCTTCCGACCTTAATTGATGCATTGGCAAATGGACACAAGTTCCTAGAGAGTTTATCAGTGAGGTGTATATTGAGACACTACCCTTATTAACATGTAGGATTTTAAGAATGAGCGGCATATCTTTACCTTCTGTGCACTTGATGTAAATTTATTATAAGTTATTTTTTTTGTAAAAGTAGAAAATGTGGATCTACTTTGAACTTGGAAATGAGAAAACAAATACAAAGTTGGAAGTGTTGTTCTTATTATAAATGTGTTCCAGCCTCATACCGGCTTTAGGAGATATTTCTTATAAGTCAATATAGTTAGATGCCCAATTATTCATAATGGTTTTTATGAAATATTCATTAAATTCTGTTGGACTTAAAACATCTTTTCCTGTTTCGACCGATGTTCTTGGCTGACTTGATGCTCGTGTCTGGTCCTTTTTAGGCGAGAAGGGAATTGGAGCCAACACAGGGAAACCTTTGCACTACAAGGGATCTATTTTCCATCGGATAATTACAGGTTTCATGGCTCAGGTGTACTCTCTCTCTCTCTCTCTCTCTCTCTCTCTCTCTCTTTCTTCTTCCTCTCCTCTTTTTCTTTTTGTAAGGGTACGTTGGACAGGATATATGCAACAATGTTTACCCCCACCATTTTAGTGCTACAGTCGTTCCAGATTCAGCTTGTCTGTGAGAATGTAACATGTACCTGTTAAATCAATGATGATAATCCAGCCCACACATTGCCTGAAGAGTTTTTATGTCTGCGTTAGAAGAGGATAATCAATCTTCTGTGGATGAGCAAAATGTAAATTACAATGGGTTTTGCCTCATTTTCATAGACCCCATGGGAGGTCTCTTGTTTCTAAATTAATATGGTACAAATGTTGCAACTATCCATCTGTTTTACATATTTGAACGATTAGCATTTTGATGCTTATCGTGCCGGAAGTGACAAGTAACAACTACGTCATGCATGCATGATATCAGGTCCACTTGTATGTATTCACAAAATGCTTTTATGATAATGGTTCTATTTACAATTTCGTTTCTTTAAGATATTTTAGATGCAAGTCAGTTATTAATAATGATTTTATTACAATAATGGAGGAGGAATTGAAAACCAGCTCATACATTAAAACAAAGACAAGTTTTTTAATAGTGGTAACTATGAACAGATGCATTGACATGTTGATTATTTTTTGGTTGAAATATTTTAACATTTCATTTGTTTTCATTATGAGAAATTCAAAAGATATAATATATTGAACGTTATGTAGTATGGTCTCCCAGCTATGAGGAATGGACATGGATATGAAACAGTATGCTTTGTACAAAGATGGAGAAATAACAATTTCTTAAAAAAGAAGATATTGATATGCTAATAACATGGCAATCTATATATTATATGTGTTAAGGATTTAAATATTAAAGTTGCACCCTCTCTAATAGCTTAAAGTTTTGTGGTATGTTTGGTTGGAGGGAAGGATTGAGTTGGGATGGATGAGAAGGGGGATAAAAAAACGTTTTCGTATTTGGTTGAAGGGAAGGGAGGGGAAGGGAAGGGAAGAGAGGGAGGAAGCAAGGAGGGATGAAGCATCCTTCTTTCTTTATGTCTATCCGCCCAATATTAGGGGGAAGAGGAGATAGAAAGCAGGCTAACTACCCACAAATATGTAATTTACATTTTTAACATTTCTAAAAATTTATTGTTGAACCCCACCGTGTTCTTATTTTATATAATGAGGGTATATATGTAAAAGAAACATAAAAACTCTCATTCCCTTCCTTCCAACCAAACAAAAAAAAAAAAAAAAAATGTCACCCCATTCATCCTTTCTACTATACATTCCATTCAATTAAACAAAAAGTGTGTGAGACACCTTCCCTTCCTTAGGGATGTCTCTTCCATCCCTCTTCCTCTCCCTTCCCTTCATTTTCCATCCCTCCAACCAAACAGAGCATTGGAGTAGATGGTAGTTAGCATGGTATCAGAGCAGACAAGGTCCTGTCTTCAGACCTACCCTGATAATTAAAATTGAACACGTGTGGAACCAAAAAAGGCGGCCACACGTGAGGGGACTTGTTGAAGGATTTACATATTAACGTTACACCTCTTTAACAGCTTAAGCTTTTGGAGTCGATGGTAGTTAACAATATGCATATTCATATGTATAAATATTTCTTAATATTTATATACATATATCTATATCTATGTGCATATTTAAAGTGATAATTTTCATGTTACATACTCGGGTTTTATGGCAACAAGTATCTTTAGTCAGTTTATCAAAATAATCTGTTTTTGTTGCTTATAGTACTGAGGAATACATCAAAAGTAGGAGTTATATTGCATGGCGAATATTTTGACACCATATCTCAATGCTTCTTCTATATTGAAGTCCAAGTTTTGAAAATATTATTACACTTTCATAACAATTGTACAATAATTCTGTGGTTAGAATTGTACTGGAGGTATATACGTATCTGTTTTAACTGGAAGAATTAGGTCTTCTGCGCTTACAATTTATGCACAAGAAGATACATTATATAATTCACTTGTCTTTTTAAACAGATATATGCAATATATTTATCTAATGAATCTTATTTTGTTCCTACAGGGTGGTGACTTTTCAAAGGGAAATGGTATGCTTTTTTCTCTTTTTTTTTTTTTTTTGTTTGTTGTTCTAGTGAGTACAGATGTGCTGTTTAACTTCCATCTTCATGCCCAGACTTGTAAGGCACGACCTTTTAATGGTTTGCAGGCACCGGTGGAGAAAGCATTTATGGAGGGAAGTTTGCTGGTAGGTTTTATTTGTTTATTTGTGCTCATCTGGGCATATAATTGGTTACTGTTGGTTTTGTGATTTCATTGTATGTCTTTTTTTGCAGATGAGAACTTTAAACTGAATCATAATGTGCCTGGTCTTCTTTCTATGGCAAATGGTGGTCCAAATACAAATGGGTCCCAGTTCTTTATAACATTCAAACCTCAACCTTACCTTGACGGGTATTTCATCTTGTGTTTGTTATTCCTGTATTTTGCCTTTATTTGTAACCACCCTCCTGAAAGGCTCAAATTTAGATTAAGAAATTACTTCGTAATTTAGTGCACGGTATTATTTTTCATTTATTAGTTATGTTACAGGAAACATGTAGTTTTCGGGAAGGTTGTGAAGGGGATGGACATTTTGAGGAAAATTGAACAAGTGGGAACATCTGAAGGGAAACCATCCCGGATTGTAAAAATTGTAGATTGTGGTGAAATTTCTGGAGGCAAAATTCATGATTCAGTTAAAGCAGAGAAAGGTATAATTTAGGTTCTGTTGAAATATTACCTACTCCTTGGTGGCTTGATGACAGTGTATATTTCTCTATGGTATTTAATGCGTTTTGGTGTGCCATCTCTCTCAGGAAAAAATAAAAAATCAGAGAAAGCTTTTCCTTCCGATGATGGTTCTGATGATGAGCAAGCGAAAGGAAGACGCAAGATATCTCTCAAGGACAGAAGAAAGAAGAGAAAAAGGAGACATTCTTCATCCGATTCATTGAGCTCTGATACGGATTCTGATTCGTATTCTTCAGAAACTGATTCCAACTCGGGCTCTAACGATTCTGAATATGATTCGTATTCTTTGAGTTCATCCAGTGATGAAAGACATAGGAAGAAGAGGAGGTCGTCAAAAAGAGACAAACAACGTGGGAAAAAGAGGAGGGATAGGCAAAGGCAGAGAAGGGGCCGTCGTAGTACAAGATCAAGGCGCAGGTCTAAATGGTCTGCTTTTCTCCCATATTTTGTGCAGCTGTTGTATATGTTTCTGTTATGCAGCCCATTCTTTTACTTTTATTTTATTTTTGAAATATTTTGCATAACTTTCAGGAGCACGGAGAGTTCAAGCAGTACAGAAAGTGAGAGTACCAGTTGTAGCAGAAGTGGCTCTGATAATGGAGAAGACAGTCCTCGTGTTTCTGCCCGTAAAACCAGTAACTCATCAATTCCTAAAAAAAAGCAACCCATAAATCTTGGTATCCAATCTGATATATTTTCACTATGCCCTCTTTTCTTCATTACTTCATGGTGTCCTAATTTAGACATTCATTATTATGTGAGATAGCAAAGGCTATCAAATGAATTTGAACCACTCTTTTGACAACGTCGCTCTGGCTCATATTTACTGATGCTACAGATGCGGAGAAAAAATCCCTTGGTACACTCATAGGTAAAGAGGCTGTAATAGAGCAGCAAAAGGATGGCGACCTGAAGATGGCCGAGGACAACTCATCGCATGAAGAAGGTGAATTTTCCCAGGAGGATGAACACCTGAACAATGGGCATGGGACAGAAACTAAATATGACAAAACTGCTAAGCAGCATCATTATTCAGATAACTCAAACATTTCCAGGTTTTTGCTATTGACTTACTTCACTCACACTTGCATAACATTTTGATGTCAGTTCCACTGTTAATGGCATAACATGTATATTTTTGCAACTATACTGAAGCAAAATCTCTTCTATTAATAATAAACAGAAGCCCAACTCCTTGTCCCAAAAGAATATCGAAGTCCACATCTAGGACTGATCACAGCAGGAGTCCTAAAGGAACTATGAGGTCTCAAAATGATAATGGAACTGGGAAATCTGGTCAGGAAAACCGGAGAAATTCTTCAAGGAGTCCTTTAGGTGGTCCCACTCGCAAGGCCCCTGGACCTTCTGCTTCTAATCATGGTCGAAGTTTGTCAAGAAGCCGTTCTCCCAATGGCACCCCAAAGCGTATTAGAAAAGGGCGGGGCTTCACTGAACGTTATAAATTCGCACGACGGTACCGTACCCCCCCTCCAGAGCATTCACCTCGTAGGTCCTATCACTATGCCGGAAGAAATGTTCCTGATAGGAATCGTGATAGGTAGGTTATCTCAAAAGTATTTTATTTCTTCTTTTTTCCTGAATTGAGGGTGAGGCTCCCATGCAATTCTGAACTTATTCTTTTTGTTGTAGATATTCAAGCTACCGAAACTACTCTGAGCGCTCACCACAAAGACGTTATAGAAGCCCACCTAGAGGCAGGAGTCCCCCCAGGTTCTCCCTCTCCCTATTCTCCTTCAGTTGATCTGGATATCTGTTCATGTTTCTGCGAATTTTATTTAGTAATAATTTTGCCTTATTGTTTCTCCAATGTATGCTACTATAACATGGCGTTGTATTACTACTGCATCATGATAAAGAATAGTGAAAAGCCAACAACAAAAACAACCAATCTGGAGATGACTAGAAGTTCTGACTTAATTTCCCTTCTTCCCCCTTTTCTTTTGCAGTAATGACCAATTGAGGAAATAAAAAATTTAATTAATGATTTTCCGGTCAGCATATGTATGGATGTAGCTACAAAACAGTTCATCCTTTTTAAAACTTCTATTATCTTCTGATTCGATTGTCCATTTTTCTTTTTGTTCCTTGTTGCCATTCAATTTCGGTCTTCTTGTGCACTTTTTGCAGCCTCCTTTGTTATATTATATGGTTTGTTCTGTTTTTATGTAGGGGCTTAATGTTATATGCCAGAAGTCAATCTCACTCTTCATTTTCTACGTAATCTTCGTTTTTTGTGTGTATGCTTTAAAGGTTCTACCAATTGTATTCTTTTTATAATCTTTACAATAAATTCGTCGAGCAATAAAAGTCAGTCGCTGCTACTGATTGAATTCCCCATCATAAATACCAGTGAAGATATTGTAGCTTGCATGGTGGTGTAGGCATGGAATTCAAAAAGGGGATGAATTTGGGGTTTATTACAAATTGTATCATTACCATGTCAGTGAGAGTAGCACTATCATACAAAAAGAATTAAAATAAATTTCTTCTTTCTTAGATACCGAAGCAGGAGAAGTCGAAGTAGGAGTATCTCTCACAGCCCAGGAGTCCGTGGTCGTGGAAGGGACCGAAGCCGGAGCCCAATACGTAGTCCTAGTCCCATAGATAGGCGACCTCCACTGAGTGAGAGGTTAATGTTACGTCTTGGGCCTCGAGTTGATGATCGGCACACTTCGAACAGAAGAAGAATGAGCTCAAGTTCTAGAAGCCGAGGCTCATCTCATTCTAGATCTCCTGAAGCTGTTCCACAAAAGCATGCTGATAAAGTGGCATCTGCTTCTCCTAGTAGGTCCAGATCCAGTTCCCCAGCTGGAAAAAGGGGCTTGGTTTCCTATGGAGATATTAGTCCTGATAGTGGGACAAAGTAGTCTAAAGTGGCTTCCTGGTTGTGGGCACTGGTAAGGACAGCTTATATTTCCCGTCTCCTAATGGTTTACGAGGTGACTGGTAAGGACACATAAAGAAAAGCTTATCCATCCGGTTTGATCCTGCAAAAGTCAACTAATAATCTGGCTACTTCCTTGGTATTACCGCCTATTCATTTTGTTTGTGCTGCTAATCTGATTGTTATGGAACCTTGCTTGGACTGGTGGTCTTGTTGGCATTCCAAATTGTCAATGAACCCAGATGATCTTGGTCAGGTTGCCAGTGTGTCTCTAGGTTAAACATTATATATGTTATTAATGTGGTTTCTATTATTGTCTTATTATGTTTTATTCTCTTAGTGGGGTATTAGACGTCTTGTGGATACTAAATCATTTCAATTTGGAGGGTTTGAAGATCATGGCTAAATCCTGCTCTTCCTTGGCTGAGTAGAAATTTCCACCCTACTTTGACTTGCATTGTCTCTTGCTTTATCAACTTTTTTCTTTTTGGGTTTTAGTTGAACACATTTACTTTTATTTATTTATTTACGAAACTTATCATTATATTTATTGTTATATTGGTGGATGGTATTATCAAACATTTTATGTGCCATGAGTAAATCCACATTGCCTAGACCAAATTCAAAATCTGGACTAATGGGTGAATGCGTTGGAAACCTACCCCATGGAAGGAGAAAAACTCTGTTGGGCCCGTTGCATCGTGCATGCCCATCCAGACCGTCTGTGTAAGACACGCGGTAATGAATGGATGGGTGCAACCAGTTTTTTTCGAATTTGACGGCAAATTTTACAGGTATCAAACTAGCAGATGCATGCTGGCGAAACAAAGGATTTTATCTTATATATGATGCTGTTATATTGATCTGATTTTAGTTTTTGTTAAAGAATATATAGAAGCCTTTTGTTATACTTTATTTTCATGCTGCTAGTTTACATGGTGCCGGGACTACCATTGGACCAGACAAATCACTAGTTGGCACCACCATTGGACCAAACTAATCACTTGTTGGCACCACCATTGGACCAAACTAATCACTTGTTGGCACCACCATTGGACCAAACTAATCACTTGTAGAATTTTTTTTTTTTTAATGAAGTTTGATACATTTATTTGGTGTCAGCTGGTGAGACCATTTAAAGTTGGCCCAAGCATGAAGTTGCATGTGTAATCCTTTTGTTTCACTTGCAGCCTATGGTTGTGAGGCAGAAATTTTTTGAAAGTGACTCCCAAGAGTTTTAGTATCTTATGGTTGTGAAGTTCTGAAATTTACACAATCTAAAATAAGCAACTGGAGATTAGTTGTCCCCTATTTAAATATTCCCATGGGAAATATCACCAATTCTTGGCGGAGATTCCATGGATCCAACTTAGAGCCGTTGGATTCTACCCCCCAAGATGCAGACGCAGAATCCACATCAGCCCCGAGGTTATACTTTTGACCTGAGAGTTATAAAAAACTCAATGATGAAAACAATAATAAGGAAAAAAAAAAAAAAAAATTAAAGGGCAGTTAGGGAAGTTGAGCTTACATGGGTCCTACTTATTTTGTCAAAAATAGGTGCACGTATATGAATGCAGTATATACACTCACCACCCTTGTCTTCAAGTTTCAAACCTCACCCACCCCGATTCACTTCAAAGTTCCAAACCTCACCTCACTCCTGCCTGACAAAGTCTCTAAATGGAGATTCCGGTGAACCTCCTTCCCATCGATGCAAGCCCAGGGTGGATGAACAAAGGTGACAATGCATGGCAACTGACGGCGGCGACATTTGTAGGGCTCCAGAGCGTCCCGGGCCTCATCGTCCTCTATGGTAGCATCGTGAAGAAGAAATGGGCGGTGAACTCGGCCTTCATGGCCCTTTATGCCTTCGCGGCATGCTTGGTTTGCTGGGTCGGGTGGGGATACAACATGGCCTTCGGTGGCAAGTTCCTTCCATTCGATGGAAAAGTGGGCTTGGCATTGGGCGACAAGTACCTTTTCCAACAGGCCTTTCTGGGCCGCTTCCCCAACGCAACCATGATATACTTTCAGTTTGTGTTTGCAGCGATCACCTTGATCTTGATTGCTGGGGCGTTGCTTGGAAGGATGAATTTCTATGCGTGGATGATTTTTGTGCCTCTTTGGCTCACCTTTTCTTACACAATTGGGGCATATAGCATGTGGAGTCCCCATGGCTGGCTATTCAAGCTTGGAATTATCGATTATTCCGGCGGCTTTGTCATTCACCTCTCTTCAGGTGTTGCTGGTTTCACTGCAGCTTACTGGGTAATTATACCCACTATATATATATATATATATATATATATATATGTGATGCTTTAATTCAATACCTTATTAAATTGACACAAATTGACGAAGGCGAGACAATCTCATATATATCCTTACCAGCAATAACAATAATTTAATATTTTTATTTTTATTTTTCGTTTCGGTAAATACCCATAACAATAATTTTATATTCAACCACATTTCAAACATTTTTCAGAACTAACTGTTGGACATTAAAATGGTAAAAGGTGGGACCGAGGGCAAGCAACGATCGAGAGAGGTTCCCGCCAAACAATATCATCTTGATGCTTGCAGGGGCAGGCCTACTTTGGATGGGGTGGTCAGGCTTCAACGGTGGAGATCCTTATGCTGCCAGCATAGATGCATCTCTGGCCGTCCTTAACACACACTTGTGTGCAGCCACAAGCTTGCTCACCTGGCTGTTCCTAGACATTCTTTTCTTCGTAAAGCCGTCGGTCATTGGTGCCACACAGGGCATGATCACCGGATTAGTTTGCATCACTCCTGCTGCAGGTTTGATAATCTTAATTTATATATATATAAGTTAAAGCAAATGCATACACCCACCAGCCCCTCGAAACTTGAAGCCTAAATCTCTATTTTGAGTAGAGATCTACCTTACCGGTAACCATTTTGTATGTTCCTTGCAATTGATGAAGCTTCACCACTTTAACGGTGAAATTTCACAAATAAACGAATACAAATAGATGAAATTTGATCAATATATAGTGGTGAACTTCACCGACTTCACTCCTTTATAGCACAAAAAGGAGTTCCTTTTTGTTTCCTTCATTGAATTAGTAAACAAAACGAGTACTTATATGTGCAATTTCTTCTAATTTATTTTTATTAGTGATTGTTCATCATTAGTATTTTTCAAACATAAATTAGTATTCCAATATGCATGGTCTGAATTTTGATATATATACGTCCAACAAATCATAATAATATCCAGTATCTGAAATCAATTAGGAAAAATATGCCTAATTCTAAAAATTATTTTTGGCATTGAATTTTCTTTTTATAGCTAGCTGAAATTATCGAAAAATTAACCTTGATCAGGAGTGGTGCAAGGTTGGGCAGCCATCATAATGGGACTATTATCTGGAAGCATTCCATGGTACACTATGATGATCCTCCACAAGAAAATATGGCTACTCAAACAAGTTGATGACACCATGGCAGTCTTCCACACCCACGCTGTGGCCGGAACCTTGGGCGGCCTTCTGGCCGGCTTCTTCTCGGATCCCAGACTGTGCCGCATTTTCTTCTTGGTCGAGGATTGGGAACACTTCATAGGACTCGTCTATGGCTTTCACAATGGTCAAATCAGGGCAGGTTTCAAGCAAATGGGGATTCAAGTGTTGGGAATTGCATTTGTTATTTGCTTGAACGTGGTAACAACTAGCCTGATATGTTTGCTGATTAGGGTTGTGATTCCGCTTAGAGTGACAGATGATGAGTTGAAGCACGGGGACGACGCCATTCATGGGGAGGAGGCCTATGCACTGTGGGGTGATGGGGAGAGGTATGACAACTCTAAGCACAATTCTGTTTTTGGGATCGACGATTGTCCTGCCGCGCCATTCGCACCCGAAACTACAAGGGAAGTTCAAACCGCTTGAACTCCATTACCTTCACTTGTATCTACTAAACTACTACTCCACATTTGATCAATAAACAATTGATCTGAATTACTTACTTTAGTATTCATATTAATTAATTGTCCATGTAAAATATACACGCGCGCGAGATCAACAGGACTAAGACAAACATCTTCTTCTTTATTTTATTTTATTTTTTTTTAATTGGTACTCACATGTATATGTCTCTAGTTGATACTCACACACACGTCTTGAATCTTGAACTTTCTTTGGAAGGTAAGAGGCCGATACCGTTAGATCACTTGCCTGTGAATACTAGGCGAGCTGGTAAATTATGAACAAAAAGGAAGAAGTAATAGTGTTTTTCATGATCCCATCAACAGGTGAAACTGCCACATGATCTCATCTTTCCTTGGCAGATCGAGAAGGAAGTTTAGATCAAGCTGGCAGCTTCAACTGTCAGTGGTTCACGGTCGATAACTTGGTAAACGCTCCATCTTGCACTGTTGTGTAGTAGTAGTGTGTGTGTGAGAGAGAGAGATTCATTTGTGTCAGGGATGCTTGTAGTAGTGTGTGTGTGTGAGAGATAGAGGGAGAGATTCATTTGTGTCAGGGATGCTAGCCAGAGATGAAAAGATCCCTTGCCTATGTACTAGTTTTATAGTGATTTCGTTGGTTGTTAATAATTTATGTGTAAATCAAACAGATGGCATGCGGTGGTCCAAAGTGAGACAAGTTGAATATTGTTGTCACACCCACGCCTATATTAAACAGACAAGTTAGCGAGACTTTCTATAAACTTCCTAATCATTTTATTCTTTATCTTTAGCTTCTCTTTTCCCGCTCTCTCTCTCTCTCTCTCTCTCAATGTAAACATCAGCCATGAACCTCAAATAAACCAGAGTAGAACACGTGGGACTAAATTGGGGACCATTTACATGGCTTCTTACATGTAGGAGAAAAGGAAAGCATCTCCACCTAATTAACATGCTAATGTTGTTTGGGTTAATGTGTCAAACGTACCCTCTTCATTCCTTATAAGTATATTTCACTAGTTCAATCAAGATTGCTTTTATATATATATATGTGTGTGTGTGTGCGCGTGTGGGGCATGTCATTTGTTGGGTGCTTGACCCCTGCATCTAATTAATTGGTGGTGTCGGTTATACATATATTAAACAGACATTTCTATGGATTAAATAACAAACATGTTGGGAATCTATTCCTGAAAGTGACCCAATTCCTTACAGGCAATTAATAAAATTAATGATAATATATATATAGATATTCTGATACAAGTTTTAGTGAGTCTGACGTACATCGTACATCGACACTCTTTCCAACTTGTTTTGATCTCTTTGGTAGGTTTGGGAAGATGGAACCAATAGATTCATGCAAAGTAACCACCAAATGCAAGTGTCACAAAAGTAAAAATATATTCTAATATACTGAAAAGCTCCCAAACAAATTGGTCGATATATATATATATATATAAATATCTATGTCATGCTTATCTTCGATAGGACATATTACTAATAAATTACTTTTCTTTTTCGTGTGCAATCATACCACTACTAATTCATTTCATCAAAACTTCACACTTAATTCCCCCTTTTTTTTTTCTTTCTTTTTTTTCGTCTGATTTTGGACAATTGCCTCAATAGTCCAATGAAATAGTATCTCCAGTAAATTTTAGAGTGCCAGACTTCTTTAACCCTCTGCATCTAACTTAAACCCTTACAGCTGTTTGGTTTTTTTAGTATAGGAGAGAACAAAACATAGGCAAAGCCATAACATCAACTAAGAAAGAAGGCCCAAAGGACCAACAAAGAAAGCATTGGATAGAAAAGCCTATCTATCTTAAGAGTCTTTTCCTTTCCTGTGTCTTTGTAACTGAGAGAAGGGAGATGAGACACACATGATAGGCCCAAAGCCATAATAGAGCACCCTTCAATTGCAAACTTTAATAAACTTGTGTTCGTTTGGAAAATTTGCCTTTGAAAATTCTTAAGGGACATTTAGGCTGTGATTCTCTCAGGTTTTATAACCGGGCAGAGATTGGGTTTTGTGATGTGGCTGTTACATTTTTGGGACTGCAAGCCATACAATGAATAATCTTACTATGTCTAAAACCATACGTTTTATAGCCCCAATTGACACGGAAACATACAGTTGGGCTTACGCCCCTGTTTGGTTGGGCTGAGACTGAAATCGTGCCCTACTATTTCAGTAGGCTTTATTGTTCATTTGATGATTAAAATATCTATCAAAAGAACAAAACAATTGCCTAATTAACTGAAGGGGCATAAATCCCACTGGACCAACTTCAGCCCAGCCCGCCAGTTAAGGAAGGATCCCATTGGCCCCCCAACTCATCCACTCTCACTTAAGGCCTGTTCTGATTGAGAGTGAGGCCCAAGAGGATATCAAGCCCGTTTGGAAAGGATCAAGACCATATTATCTCAGGGTTATTAGAGGTAAAGATAGACTTCTATAAACAGAAAAAAGAACAAATATTGAATTGAAGCGTAAAAAATTCACTTTCCTAACGCAGAGAGCAATTTCTAACATTCCCAGTCTGCTTCCTCATTCAAACCATGTACATTACAAAATTTTCACATGCAGTGCATCAATTATTTTTATACAAGACATATGAAAACAGAACCTCTGCCTCATTTGTTCCAACAATCATCTGAAAAGCTATTTTAACCTGCGGAATGATTATCCCCTGCTAACAACTTTGCCAGAAGAGAAGAGTCAAATCAAGTGTGTATATAAATAAATATATATAGACGAGTATCGTTAGATGAAAAGCATGAATAGAAAAGAAAAACACAGGACAAAGTATTAGAAAAAGTTTGGTATAAAGCAGGCTAACAAGAAGAAGAGTATCTCATAGGTAGGGAAAGGAACTAGATACTCACCAGTGATCAATTTCTCTGCTTCATTTTGTTACGGAGTATTTTCTTTTTCTTTTCATCAGAAGATATAGAAGAAGGTTTTGTAGTCTGTTTGGCCCCCAAAAGGGGAAGGAATGAGGCTGACAGAGCATGACCTAGCTAGGGTTTGTTATTTCTCCATCTCCAACTCTAACCAACCAAGGCTAGATCATGCTGGCAGCTTCACTTATTCCCTTGTGGACTTGATTCCATCAACTTGAACAAAGCCGGTCCACCCTAGCTATATCATCTCTCTTTTTCCCTGGAAAGTCAAACAACTAGACCCTAGATTATCTGATAAACAAATTTGAATTATCTGATAAACAAATATGAATACTGAAACAGGTCTGGTTTTGATATTTTTTCTCAGAGAATAAAATAAAAATAATAAATATGTATAAGAAACTTCTAAAATCAACCTTTACTCTAAAGATTAAGAAGAAATAACCATAAAAAGTCTGCAAGAGTTTTCTTCTTTGGATTAGTTCAACAAACTGACAAGGAGAGTGAAACATGTATATATATATATATATAGGTAACAAAAAGAAAGAGAAAGGTAAAGCAAAGTGGACAAAGATTCATCTAATGATAATTAATAAGAATAAGAAAGAGATGCAAGAGCATCATCAAGAGAAGAGAGAAGATATTAAAATAATTACACTTGGGGTGTTTGACAAACAAATTTTTTGAACTAGGAAATGAAATCAAATCCAATGGAAGAAGGAAAGGAAATAAAAGAATGAAAGAACAAAAAGTATGTAAATAGAGAAAGACGATCGAAACCCTAGAAGTTGACTTGTACAAAACATTAGGGATTGTGTAAATTTATAGGAGATTTGAGTGAGACAGATGTTGGTAAAGAGAGATGCCTAAAGACACGAGGCTGAATGCAAAACAGTGAAATAAAGAAGCCTGATGTGGGCAGCAGAGAAATAACAGCCAGGCTAATACAGTAATTATACTGGTATATATGTATATGTGTGTATATATATGTATATGCTCCTCGGAATATTGGTAGGTGCTGTAGCTGTACGACAGTACTAGTAGGCATGCATAGTTTGATAGGAGCAAATTAATGGCAGGTTGGTGGGATGGAGCTCATCATAGCATGGGGGGGCCTCCTACTTAGCAAAATTAAGGACTGTTTTGTTCATGCCATAAATATGAATAATTTAAAACTTATTAGGACGACTTTCTCAATACCGAGTAGCATTATTTTAGAAAAAGAAAGAAAGAAAAAAGAATTAGATATAATTACTGAATGTAATGAGGCTGTTGAAAAAATAAATTTTTTTTCTTCGTAGAGATATACGAGAAAAGAAAGGAGAATAAGAAGAATGACATATCATTCATTTTTTACAAATAAGAAATGAGGGACATGTGAACTATTTTAAAAATTTTAAATTAAATATTATCCTAGATTTAATTTACAGCAATATCCGGTATAAATTACAATATTTTAAATAATATTGGATATAATGGTAAAAATAATTAAAACTTTTTCTTTCTTTCTCTCCTAACAAACATAGTAGTTTATTATTATTTTTTTATCCAACCGAACAAAAATAAAAAAATATGCAATTTATTCCAAACAAAATATAAGTATAAATGAACGTATTTATTCACTTAATAAAACAAAATAACTTGGTAGAGAAAATATAAATTTGTTCGGGACATGTGCGGTAGATTTTTACAGGGATGTAACTTATGTCAAATAAGAAAATACGATCAACTCAAACCAGGAGTATTTTATTTAATTCAGATTAAAGTACCGATCAATTTAATTTTAGTATATATCGTCGAAGTAAAAAACAAATGCAGGTTAAAGTTATGATACTCAAACGAGATGATGATGATGTTGTTCAACTTGATCGTCATAGGTACTTACCCAAAATAATAAAATAAAAAATAAAACTTGACCATCATAGGTACAAGGTTTGCTTCAATTTTATAAAAGAATTACAAAAAAATTATAACTTTTAAACTAATTAACAAAATCTTTTTATTGTTTTACAAGTAATATTTTTAAATATTTATTTTACGGCAAACTATTCTTATCAATTATGCTAATTGCATGAAAGTTTATCATTAATTAAACCAAACATAATTATTTGTACAAATGAAATTAAAGAATATCTAAAAGGTGAGGTACATATATATATTTTCAAACAAATTTAAAAAGGTTTACATTTTGAACACTCGAAATTCGATGAAGATCCTACCTTAATGTTTCAACTTCAAACTCAGTTGTCAAATCTACAAAAGGTATTGATTTCATTGTGTGTGTGTATCCGACCTTCGAGATAAGCTGGTGTGCTCACAATTATCTGTTAAATGCATGATACTCATGTAAAAAGAGTAGTAACGGTATTCATATTTAATTATTGGATTGAGACAATTTTTTTAATATCTATATATTTTAATTAAATGATTATATGTGGAAATTTTTTTTTAGCTATCTTGATAGCATAATTATACATGTAATTTAATGAAAAACATTGTATGGACTCTGAGAGCCTGAGTATTGTTGGCAAATATAAATTGAAAGCAAAGCAAAGCAAAGCAAGCAGTTGGCCAATGAACCCTAGAAAGGCAAATAAAGATGTGTCACAGGTGGCTGCAGAAACCTCCTTCACCATGCATTCAACTTTTTAAACTTGGGTTTTTGCTCTTGTTAATTTTTTTCTAGCTGGTTGCAACTTGCAGCAGAGGTGTATGTAAATGCATATATGAAACGTGAATGGTGCTGCAGGAGTACAACTTTTGACTTTGGGGACTAGGGTGGTCCTATATACTACGTATCTGTGTGTGCGTTTGTGTATATATATGAGCAGTGATAGAGAAATTGAAGTTTTTTATCGAAAAAAAATGTCCAACTTGACACATCAGACTGATTACACGTGAAATAATTTTTTATCATTTCTTTCACTTTCTCTCCCCACTTTCCCTTTCTCTCTCTATCTTTTTTTTTTTTTTTCTCTCTCCTCTCTCAATCTGGATTAACTGATTGTTCGTCCTTCATTAATTCTTCTCACCTTTCCTCTCTTTTCCTTCATCAATTTTTCTCACCTTTCCTCTCTCTCAAAATCTGGTGGTCATGCACAAGAGTTTCCATTATAAGAGACGTGAAAAGAAAACAAATTTGTTTATTTAGAAAAAAAAAAAAAAAAAATAACCAAGAGAAGAGAAAATGATGAATATTCTTAAAAATTTCTTTTTTTGGTTTTGTGCATATTGTTTTGGAAGAAATTTTAATGGTTTTATATGGTTACTTTCAATTTTGAGATATCAAAACGAAAAATTGAAGAAATCAAAACGTAATAGAACCAGAATAGAGAGAGAATAGCCGAGAAGGAGGCTAGAAAAGAGGAGAAAGAAACGAAGAGTAATAGAGGAAAGAGAAACGAAATTGTACGATATTAGAAAATAACCGGACGTAAATAAGTCCCGTTAAATTCGACCTCTGATTCGGATGTTTGGTTCGGTTCACGTATCATTTTCCTATATATATATATATATATTGATTTGCCTAGTCCGGTGTACTACAGAGTACAGACCGCTGACCGCGTATGAAGAAGATAAGTTTCCTACCCTCTCTCTGTGTTTATTGTTTGTCTTGGTATGCTAACATTACAGTTCACCAGGCCGCACAAAACAAGCCAATTAGCATCATCAGCCACCAGAAGTAATTACCTAACGAAACAGAACCAGACCTATTCACCTGCACCCGCCATTTATATTTATTGTCATCTTCCCTTCACATGTCATGCATTTGGATTTGCCAGTTTAGACTCTTAATTAACACACGGAATATCCCAAAAGTAAAGTTTAGCTGTGGATAGATCGTCTCTCTCTCTCAAAGAAAAATTGTTTCTAAGGTCAGGTGCTTAGTTTACTTTTTAATTTACTTCAATAATTTGTCTTGCAATAACTTTTTATTTTTATTTTTATTTTTTGAGGAATAAGTACATCAGATAAAACATGTACAGTCCAGTAACATAACTATCTTAAAAAGCTGTCATGTAATTAAGGCTTTGCATAAATAATGCATCAACTCTATGAGGAAGAGCTACTTTCATTCAAAACTCTAACCATCAAGCCTTCATTGAGATCCTTAACCCCATAAATAAATAAATAAATGAAGCCTTCATTTAGATCCTTATCCTCTATCTCTGGAGATATACAGATTGGGGGCTAGAGCTGGACCATTTGCAAAGTAACATACTGGAACCATAGCTCATCAGGTGGAGAGTCATTACAAGTAGTCCTCAGCAATGGATGCTTCGACACTAAAGAAGTCATCACCCCAAGTATCTGTGTCACAGATATACATTGGAAGGAAACATAACACTACCATTATTTTGTACAAAGTGAGTCGCATATAATCAAACATATGCCCTCACATATGTCATGTCTAACTTTTATATATCAAACAAAAATGACCATAAATAAAATTGATGATCTGAAATGGTTACCAAAAATCTCCACAAGAGCATACTCCACCTACAAAATGATGGAATCTATTGGCATCCCTCATAATAATTTCTCTTCCAAAGAACTTCGTGACTAGCTTAATGAAACTATGACAATCTCCACAAACCCGAAGGTTCTTCGTTATTCGAATTGGGCTTCCCTCCGGTGCTGTAAGCAAGCCATATGCAATGGCCAGCCTTTCACTGTGCCCTTGAAGCATCTTGACTTTCGTTTCTTCATCTACATTGTGCAGAACAAACTTGGTTTGAGCCACATAGTCTCCTTCACTCTCCAATATCTCAGTAATTTGACCTAACTTATGGTAAATCTCATCTGATTGTGGATGAGATCGGTCTCTCGCCATGAATGTGTGAACTCTATTCCCAACCTCAATCCAACTACACCCTGGATCTTTCCTCAACCCTTTTCCCTTCATTCTCATTCTTACTTCCTCCACATCTTCCCATCTACCAGTTGCGGCAAAAACATTAGATACAAGTATATAATTTCCCGGATTCTCTGGATCCAATTCTAGAAGCTTATGTGCTGCAAATTCTCCTAATTCTTTGTTGGAGTGAACCCAGCAAGCGCGAAGGAGAGCACACCACACTGCAGCAGTAGGTTCCATGCGCATGCTTTTCACAAATTGGAATGCCTCTTTTAAGTGGTTTGCACGGCCAAGCAAATCAACCAGGCAAGCACAGTGTTCTGGCCATAGCTCTAATTGATATTCACGTTCCATTATTTCAAAAATCATTATACCTTCATCTACCAGTCCTGAGTGGCTACAAGCATAAAGAAGTGCCAAGAAGGTAATATGATCAGGAACTAAATCTTCATCCTCCATCCTTCTAAATAATTCAATGGCTTCCTTACCACGCCCATACATTCCGTATGCATTGATCATACTAGTCCATAGAACTAAATCTTTGTATCTGATAAATTTAAATACCTTGCACGAGTTCTCTAAAGTCCCACAGCAAGCATACATATCGACAAGAGAGCTTGCAGCGGAACCCTCTAGGAAAAAACCCTTCCTGAACAAGAACCCATGTATCTCTTTTCCTTTCCTCAAGGCAGATAAACTTGCAGCTGCAGTGAGTGCGCTCACTAAGGCTATACAATCAGGTTCAATGCCCGTTTCTTTGAGGGAAAGGAAAAGGTCAAGAGCCTCATTTGCAAGCCCATTATGGACATAACAAGATATAATGCTCGTCCACGACACAATATCTTTAACTTCAATTGATTCAAAAACACGAGATGCCTTATCTATGTCCCCGCACTCTCCATAGACGTCCATAACTGAATTCTGTAGCACAATATCAGATAATCCTCTTCTCAACATGTAACCATGAATTTCTTTTACAAGGGTAATGCACTTCAAACCACTACAAGCCAGTAGGACGCTTCCAATCATCATTGCATCAGCATCCATTCCTTCCCTCTGTACTTCCCGGAACAATTGTAAAGCCCTAAAATGACAATTATTCTGAGCATAGCCAGCAATGACTGTTGTCCAGGAAATGAAGTCTTTATTGGGCATCCTGTCAAAAACAGAGCCCATATAGTTCATCCTATAACATTTTGCATACATATCCATAAGTGTGTTCCCAACCTGCAAATCAGAATGTAATCCATTTTTTATAGCATATGCATGAATTTCCATCCCATTCAACAGATTTCCCAATCTAGCAGAGGTAGTGAGGACGCTTGTGATTGAAACCTGGTCAGGTTTTTGACCTACTTCTTGCATCTCACGAAAGAATAGCAGAGAGTCATTGTATAAGCCATTTTGGACAAAACCTGAGAGCATTGAATTCCATGATATATTGTCCTTCTCATCCATTCTCATGAAAATTCTTGCAGCATCACCAATTTTTCCACATTTTGTGTACATCACAACCAAAGCATTGGACACATATAAATCAAGATGGTGACCATATTTCAATATAATAGCATGTATTTCCATGCCAAATTTTACAAATGAGGACTCATCACAGGCTTGAAGAACAGCGACAAAGGTATACGTGCTGGGGGCAAGACCAGCTTCCAGCATTTCTGTAAATAGCCTCAAAGCTTCAATGGATTGTCCGTTTGCAGCATTAGTCGAAATAATTGAATTCCATGATACAACGTCGTGACATGCACTCGTGCTGGTGAACAACAGCATTGTCCCACCGAGATCATTGCATTTCGCATACATACCCACAAGCGAATTGACAACAAATACATTAGAAACAAACCCCATTTTGATTGCTAGACCATGAACTTCAGTCCCACAACGAAGATCTTTAAGGCCACTACATGCTTTAAGTATACAAGGAAAAGTACAAGCATCAAGAGGAACATCACGAGCCCGCATTTCCAAATACAATTCAAGTGCTCCGAAAGGTTCCCCATTGGTAATATAAGCACCAATCATGGCATTCCATGTGAAAATAGTCCTCTCAGACATTCTGTCAAACACCTTCTCAGCATTTATAAGAGACCCACATTTCCCATACATGAACACAAGCTTAGTTCTCAAAAATCCTGAATCAAAATTATCATTAGATTTTATGACATGGGCATGGATTTGTTGGCCTTGTGATAAGGCATTCTTGCTTGCACAAAGTTCAAGAACTAATGAATAAGCTTCGTCTAAGGAAGACTCAGGTGGGTTTTGTGGAGCGAAGAAATTGCTAAGAGATATGAAAGCTTCTTCAAGGTTTCCTAGATGACAAATCTCTTTCAAAGAAGGGGTTTTGATTGATTTTTTAGGGAATTTGGAGATTTTGAAAGAACAATTTTTCTGGAATTTCTTTAAATTGGGTGGTCCAGTTAAGGTTGACGAGGGATTGAAGAAAGAGTATCGGGTGGACGTAGCCATCTTGGTGCTTGGAACCCGAAGGCGATGGACAAGATAAACGTTAAGGGCACGAATCTACAAATATTTAGATTTTGTTTTCACTGATAGAACTCACTCCGTTGTAGTCCAGCGGTTAGGATATCTGGCTTTCACCGGGTGACCCAGGTTCGATTTCCTGCAACGGAATATTTTATTTTGTTTTTTCTCCTACTTGCTTTTTCCCTTTATTATTTCTTTTCTATCCAAGATTAACTATTTTCTCCGACTTCCTTGGGAAAAAAAAAAATCACTAAAAAAGAGAAATAATTGAATTATGTTATATATGTGTGGGGTCCACGACTTAATAATGTCATCAATGACGACATTTATGTTGTGGTGTATGAAAGAAGCTTGTATGGGAAACCATGAATTGAATGCCTATAAATAGGCATTATATGTATGAACTGATGGTATGCAATAAAAAGGCAGCTCTCTCTCTCACTCTTTCTCGTTCTCTCCTCTATCTTTGTGTGTATGTTAAACTTTCTTTCATCAATATTACTCTATATACACATACATACATATTCATTTCACGTTATCAGCACGAGGCTCTGTCAACTGAGAAGAAAATTCTATTTTTCTTTCTCACTTCAAAGGTTCATAATGTCAAACCTTACCAAGCTTGAATTTGTGGCACTTGATATCTCGGGCAAAAACTACTTGTCATGGATCCTTGATGCCGAGATCCGCTTGGATGCCATGAATCTCGGAGAAACAATTAAGAAAAACAATAATGCGTCCCTGCAGGACCGCGCAAAAACCATGATCTTTCTTCATCATCACCTCCATGAGGAATTAAAAACAGAGTACCTCACAGTTAAGGATCCACTTACACTGTGGAAAAATCTAAAAGAACGATATGAGCATCAGAAAACTGTGATCTTTCCAAAAGCTCGCTATGACTGGATCCACCTGCGATTACAGGATTTTAAAAGTGCAAGTGAATACAATTCAGTCTTATTTAAAATCAGCTTAAAATTGAAATTATGTGGAGAAAAAATCACTGATGATGATATGTTGGAAAAAACATACTCCACATTTCATGCCTCAAATGTGCTCCTACAGCAGCAATATAGAGAACGCAGATTTACCAAATATTCTGAGCTGATTTCTTGTTTGTTGGTGGTTGAACAGAATAATGAGCTTTTGATACAAAACTACCAGTCCCGTCCCATTGGATCTGTACCATTCCCAGAAGCGAATATGTCATCATTTCACCACCATGGACGTGAACGTGAACGCAGACGTCGTGGTGGTCGTGGATATGGTCACAATAGAAATAATTATAATAATCGTGATGGTCATAATTCCTCATTGGTTCCCAGAAGGAATTCCACACCGTCCCACTAGAAGTGGAATTCAAATGCGACCAAGCAGGCAAAAGAAAAAACTTTACAAAACAAAACCCCTGAGATATATGATGACAAGCCTTGCTATAGATGTGGAATGAAAGGTCATTGGTCGCGTACCTGTCGTACGCCCAAACATCGAGTTGATCTTTACTGTGCCTCAATGAATGATAAAAGAAATGGAAAGGAAATTGAAATGAATTTTATGGATGACGACTTGCCTGTTGATATTACTCACCTTGATGTTTCTGACTTCTTTGCTGATCCTAGTGATAATATTAATCATTTGATTGGTGATAGAAATGTCCATACCAATTAATGTGTCCTTCTCTAGTATGTTATCCCTTGTGTGTTTTAGCTTATCTGTATCAATATGTCTCTATCTAGGTTGTGCTAGTATGTTTTTATTTTGGTTATCTTGCATGTAAATCTAGTTTGTGTTTCAAGTTTGAAGTAATGAAATATATATTTTGTGTATATGAAGAAGCATGGATCTGACTAAGGCATTGACCGTACCCAAGATAAATGATGAAGATATATGTCTGGTAGACAGTGCAACAATGCACACTATACTCCGAAATAGAAAATATTTTTCGAGTATAACATTAGTTGAAGCTCGTGTCAATACAATATCAGGTCCAGCAGATCTAATTGAAGGCTCAGGAAGAGCTATCATTGTGTTACCATGTGGAACACAATTGAATATTGATGATGCTCTATACTCTACTAAATCCAAAAGAAATTTATCAAGTTTTAAAGATATACGTTTCAACGGTTATCATATTGAGACTATAAATGAAGGGGGCGTTGAATATCTCTATATTACATGCCAGAAGCATGTATTAGAAAAACTCCCTACTTTATCTTCTGGATTATATTATACAAATATAAGAGTACTTGAGTCACATGCAGTGACGCACCAGAAGTGCTCTGACCCAAATATTTTTATACTTTGGCATGATCGCCTTGGTCATTCTGGGTCAACAATGATGCACCGAATCATTGAAAATTCACATGGTCATCCACTAAAGAACCAGAAGATTCTTTTAGCAAATGATTATCCCTGTACCGCTTGTTCACAGGGTAAATCAATAGTCAGACCATCACCTTCCAAGGTCGTCGTTGAATGCCCACCATTTTTACAACGAATTCAAAGAGATATATGTGGACTAATTCATCCAGCGTGTGGACCATTTCGGTATTTTATGGTCTTAATTGATGCATTAACACGGTGGTCACACGTAAGTTTACTTTCTACTTGTAATGTTGCATTTGCTCGACTCCTTGCTCAAATAATCCGATTACGAGCACAATTTTTAGATTATCCAATCCAGACTATCCGTCTTGATAATGCCGGAGAATTTACATCTCAATCAGTTGATGACTATTGCATGTCAATTGGCATTCTTATTGAACACCCTGTTGCACACGCTCACACCCAAAATGGTCTTGCATAATCTCTTATCAAACATCTTCAGTTAATAGCTAAACCATTACTTATGAGAACTAAACTACCTGTTTCTGCTTGGGGACATGCGATATTACATGCAACATCATTAGTTCACATTAGACCAACTGCATATCATAGTTTTTCACTACTACAACTTGTGATGGGTCAACAACCAAGTATCTCTCATTTACGAGTCTTTAGTTGCGCTATATATGTTCCCATTGTACCCCTACAAAGCACCAAAATGGGTCCTCAACGATGACTTGGTATTTATATAGGTTTTGATTCTCCATCTATTATTAGATATTTTGAACCTATGACAGGTGATGTGTTTAAGGCGCGGTTTGCTAACTGTCATTTCGATGAGTCTGTTTTCCCTCCATTAGGGGGAGAAAAGAAAAAGTCAGAAGGGCAACGAGTTATTAATTGGAATGTCTCGACTAGCTCATTTAGGTTCTCGCACAAATCAATGTGAACTAGAAGTTCAAAGGATCATTTATTTGCAAAGTATTGCAAATCAATTACCCGATGCATTCACTGATACAAAGAAAATGATGAAATCACATATACCAGCTGCAAGAATTGATATCCCTGTAGGACAGTCTGTCAGTGTTATTGCAAATGCATCCAAGACATGCCAGAAGCGTGGTAGACCAGTCGGTGCAAAAGACACTGTTCCCCGGAAGAGGAAAGCACAAGAGAAATCAAATAAAGAAATTGGCGCTCCTGAAAAGGTCACACTTTGTAATGACCCGGTCATTTTCCTTCCTTTCCTTTTCTGAGATTTTCACGGATATTTATTTTTATTTTTATTTTTATTTTTTATTTTTTCGTTGTTCTTTTCCTTTCTGGGTTCAGTTTTTCATCACTTAGTGTCGTCTCGAGTGCTCTAGAATGATTTTCGAGGCTCTTTTCTTTGAATTGACAACTTCCTTTAAGGACCGAGTCATTTTCATATTTTTCGTTTTTCGACACTATTCACTTTTCGTCCTTTTCCCTATTTCGTCTTTTTCCATATTTTGTCTTTTCCCCGTTTGTCACTTTTTGGCACAACCTCACTTTTCGTGCTCGGAGTTGATTTTTGACTTCACGTACCTTCATCCTAAGTGGTTTCCACGAAATACGTATCTTTACTTTTGTAAGAAAGTATTCTAGTTGCTCCCGGTGTCCATAGGGGCATGGATGCATAATTTTTCAGAATCTTTTTCTTTTCTTGGGGTATTTTTCGTAAATATCTTTTGAAGATTTTTATTTCAGGGGTTTTTAAGAAAATATTTTTTGAAGATATTTTCATTCTGGGCCATTAGTGCAGTTTTTACTTTTTTGAGAGGCCATTGTGCAATTAGCCAAAGTTATTGCAAAAATACCTCGTTTGGAGCTTGAAGTCTTATACGGGATTCATTTTCACATTTCGTTGAATTGTGTACTCTTAGAATTCCGTTCTGGTCATTTTTCTCCAGTTTCAGAGTTTCTGACTCCAATTGCTGCCGAACTTGTTCGGTGTATGTCTTTCTGGTCGGGACTCGGTTTTTGACGCCGTTTCTTCCGTTATTCATGTTTTCTTATTTTGAAACTTTTTTGTTCACAGAGTTTTGCCGTTTAAGCGCGTCTGCTCAAATTCCACTTTTTCGGACCCGGAGGGGCCCTTTCGGGGCACTTTTAGGGTTTTACTATAAATAGGGGGTTATAAAATTGAAAAGTCACTTTCTTCTCTCTTCATACACGACCTGAAGCTTCCATGGCTGCCCAAGGGGGGACTGCCACCCTTCTCCTCTCATTTAAACCTCTTTCCCTTTGTTATAAAGTCATAGTGCCTTCGTGTTTTGTGTTTATCTTGACTACGCGCTTCTTTCACCCTTATTAGAACCCGTTTTCGGCCAAATTTTGAGTTCGGGTTTGAGGTCAAGTTAGGATTTTGGTAGGTCCTCTTTGGAGTTTAATGTTCACGGCGTTATCCCTAACAAAACCCCGAAGTATTGTTGGATTTGGAATCGTTTCATTTTGGTGGCTTTTGAGATTTTCATGATTATAAAACTTGAATGCATGCTTTTGTTTAAGTCTTAGAATTTAATTTAATTAATTTCTATGGTTAGAATTTAATTCTCATGATAACGTATAACTCAGAATTAAATTGTGGCATGCTAGAAAGTTTGGATTTGATATGTTTGTTAACATATATTACATTGAAATTATTTGAATAAGAATTGCACTTTTTATTTAATATTTTTC